AATGCACATATTTCAACATTTAGTAAGCTTTATTTAAAAAAATTACAACTGGCTGCTTGATATATAGGTCTTTATTTGGATTAAATTATAATTCCTGCATGTTTGGATTAAATAATATTATTTTCTGAATAGAGATTAAATTCTAACCGCCCTCTGTTATAGCCCTCAAAAATATAACCATCAGGCAGCATAAGATTGTTTAAAAAATTGTTCCTTTTTTTTGTAATTTAATAAAAATTAGTAGTCATTCTACCAATATTAACACTTGAAATGATTTCATTTCAAATTTTTAACTGAAGTGATCTCTTGCACTGATTGTTTAAGACTGCAAAAAAGTAGCAAAAAAAGATAACCCTACTTAAGAATTTGTCATTAACACTTTAAAGAATTTGCAAAACCCTTTACACTGGGGATGAGATTCTCAGAAATGTGTGATTGTTACAATAAAATTATGATTAAATGGGTCTTTCCAGAAACTACTTAAATCCTGCTATAGGAAATTTATGAAGCTCTTCAGTTATTTTTTTAATAAGGTATTAAGAAAGAATCCATTCCATCAGTAGATTAACTCTTTTATAGTTAATCAAATGCTTATTACCAGTTAAAGGGATCTTGGAATACTCTTAAAATAAAAATTAATGTCAGAAGTTACCAGTTGGGAATGATAACTATCAGCAGTGGTTTTTATAGTTTTTATAATACCTTTGATCTGCAGGTATTTATTCATGCTAAATTTTTAAGAAGATGATGGATTCACAGTGTTGGATAAAGAGTTACCTTGCAACAGAAGGCAACAGAGAAAAAAATTTAGAGAAGAAAACTTTCAGTGCTTTTTCCTGATCCCACCTTCCTCTTATAACCCCAGACTCAAATCACTTTCTTCTATGGTCCTCAAAGATTCAGAGTACCTTTCTGGATATAAAAATATACAGATTACTAAGTTATATTCTACACTATTCTGAATCTCGGCCTACTTTTAGTACAAAATACTGTTTGGTTTGAAATCTACAAGTGCAGAAAGCCAAATATTGTCCTTTGGGGAAAAAAACTATACAAAGTAAATCCATAAAGATTTTACTTCAGTTTTTAATTAGCTATATCTTCATTAAAGTTCTAATACAACATAAAGAAGAATTGGTTAGATTGATTAATTAATGTTGTTAGAGAATACCATAATCTTGTATTCCAGAAAAATTATATCCTCTGATTTCTTGCAACTGCTTAATGAATATTTGTGAAACAAATATTGTAAAACAGGCAGGAACTCATCTTTTTAAAAGATACTTCAACTTTTAAACATAAAAAGCTTTTAGAGCCTGCCCAGGACTTCACTGTCTGACCTTAGAAAATCAAGACCATTTTAGACCTGCTGAGGCTGGAAGGTGGGGTGGGAGACCACCAGGGAATTACTGGATTGTAGATTAGCTTACGAAGGTAGTGGGAAGCCATTTCTATTGCCAACAAAACTGCATAACTATGTCCATGAAGTCACAAGGAGTTAAGACTATGGTAGTCGACTTGGCAGGCCAGAATCCTATTAACAATGCTTTGCATAGACTCAGCAGCACAAATCAGAATGCAGTCTTGAGTATACTGAATAGACTATACAACATATCCCAACTAAATCTTTTTGGGTATATATTTAATAAGAATCATTGTAAAAGTAATTCTAAAAATACAGAGTTATCAGACATGGTCCTATATACTTACAAAATTTTTTCCCAAATATTTGTATGCATCTTAATTGCTTAACAACCTGTTTCATTCAAGATCTGATGCAAATATAATACATCTGATAAAATTTGGCGAACATACAACTGTGATGGAACAAACAGCATATACAAACAGTACAAACAAACAGTACATGCAAACATTATTCAGCAAGGCAAATACAGTTGTTTATAGTAGGGTTTTTAAGGGGGTTTAATTGTTTAAAAACACTATAAATCACTCAGAGTATAGAGAAGAAAGAAGTCAGCAACTAAATATCTATTTACATTTTCCAAGCAGATCCTTTCCCTCCTTTTTTCTTGCATATTCATAAACAACAATAACAATACAGTAGATACTTTAGCATTAGGCTGAAATATCTAAATTTTAATATTACAAAATCATTCAGTGTATTTCGCAAATTATTTTCAGCATTAATTGTAGAATTTAAGCAACTCTGTTCATTTATACCTCACAAATCATATTTAACATTGGCATACATTTTTTGACAGATTTAAATGAATCATTATGATATTAGTTTTTAGTTCCTATTGTATAAATATCATTGTACTTGGTTATTATTTATACCCTATAATGTAATAAAACATGTGGTGGTTTTTTTTTAAAAAAAACAACAATGTAGGATAAGTAGTGCAGTTATTTAAGCCACTGTACAAGCATGTACTGTACTTTTGGCTTGCTATCATTTTTTTTTTGTTTTTGGACAATAAAAGAAAACAATAATAAAGAAAGCTATTTGAACCAATAATACTTTATTCATTTAAAATACTTTAACATAATGGATTTTATTTTTTACTTTGCAAAATGGGTTGGGATAAAGATTTAGAAATGGTTGCTAGTAATGTATTGTAAATGTAAGAAATACATGCCGGTACAGACTAATCTCTGAGTTTTATTAGATAAGTGGTTTAGTGGATAAAGGGAATGCAGTAGATATAATCTTCAGCGTAATCAAATTTAGCAGTGCTTTTGACACAGTTCCACATGACATTCTCATAAAGAAACTAGTAAAATTTGATTGTAAATGCTTTAGAGGATAGCGTTTTGGATAGAAATGAACTTAATTGTTTAGAAAACTGGTCTATAAGCTACACAATTAATTCCAGCAAAGATCAAAAAGAGTTACAGAATAAAATACAGGTTGTAAAATGTGAGATAACGGAACAGCTGTGCTGGGAAAGCCATGTTTGATGATAAACAGCATTGTTCATCAATGTAAAACTGCTGGGGGGGGGAAAGCAAACACTGCCCCCCATTAATCAGCAAATGTTTGATAGAAATATGACATATATAAAATAGAAAGAAATAATAGCTATGGGTCATATCTTCAATTTACAGTTCAAGAACAAAAATTTCAAGGCTTTTGTTTTTGTATCCTTAAAGAAAAATGTAAATAAATTGTAGGACAATCAGAGAAAAGTTGACTAAGGCATGCCATTTAAAAAGATAAGTCAACTTTGTTACATGGCATATTCCAGTACTTTGGTATGAATAATTGGATATTTAAAATTGTCAAGTTGTTTGTAGACATAGCTGTGTTTTTAAATGAAGGAGCAGCTGTCTTGGACCTGAGGGCTATATCTTTGTGGGCTGTGCTAGGGACTGCATAAGAAAAGCTGTGGGGTAGGACAAAAACTATTTTAATCTGAACTTGATTTGAATGTGTTTTACTTTAATTAAATTAATATAGCTATTTCCCATGGGGAAAATGATAAGGCATTTTTGCATCATCTTCTATAGTGCTAGTACTAATATGAAGATGAATGGTGGCAGAGGTAGGATAATAAAGGAAGCTACATTTTCGCAGAGCATATTATTTTTAATTTTGGAATTTGGAAACTCAATCCAATTGTTATTTTAAAACACTATGCAAATTCGGTGCCTATTATTCATGTTGGCTATATGCCACTGTTATCTTTGGGATGAATGGCAATAATCCTCTGGTATTATTGCTGGGGAGCAACAGCAGGCAATATCTACATTACCTGTGGTTTGGCATCTGGTCTGGGAAATAGTGACCATTCACATTTGATTACCCATATAGGCTAAATGTGACCCACTTATAAAAATGATTTAAAAATACTAGTGCACTATGTATCTGTGTAAATAGGGTCCAAAAATGTTACACTAATTTTGCACCAATTGGATATGGTTATCAAAGCAATTCCGAGTTCTTTTTAAAGCCCTTATGTTAACTTTTTAAAGATTTAAACAATTTGGGGATATATAGAAGACTGTTTTCCCTTGTATTCACTTCCTTTTAAAGTTTTAAACGGGATATACAGAAGACTGCCTTCAATTGTATGATCCTTCTGTAAAGATCAACTAAGAGGCCCTTTTTTGAGTGCCAGTCAAGGGCCTTCTTATTGGTGTTCTCCTGGATGTGGAGCTGTTTTCTTTGGCACTATGAAAGAGCATTTTGTACAAGCTTTCAAATATCCTTGAAAATCCATTTGTTCCATCTGGCTTTCTCTAAGAGGGTTTTTATAACACTAATTCCTGAGTCATGGTGTTTCCTTATTATACTGGATTCTTACATTTTTATTCATTCATTATATCTCAACTGGATTTATCTTTTGTTGGATGCTGCCAGTTATATATGTGTTCCAAAAGGCAATCTATAAAGATTTTAGATAAATATTTATGTTATACTATAAACGATGAAGAGCTTCTTATAACTTGAAAACTACATATTAATCAACCAACTGAAAGCTGATATTTATCTGGTTGCTTTAATGATAAATACATAGATTGCTAGCAAATAGTTACAATGATTGCTTTCAAAGGTTTACTTAAAAAAGAAATACAGAATTGACAAGGAATATTATGTCAAATGTGTAGAATAATATCAAACGTCCGACGTGTCCACGTTAGAACCATCCAAATAATAATTGGTATTCCAGTTATATTTTTATGTTACAAAATACTTTCAGTAACTCTTGAAAGTCACTGGACATTCATTGTAAAATTTATTTTATTCTGTCGTTAAGATTCTGGTGCAGTGAAGCTTTCGATGTGCTATTAAAGCAGAATATATGCCTTAAAATACTATTTTAGTATTAAAACACTATATATATTGTCCCAAAATACATTGCTTACGATTATTATTATTAATTATTAATTTATATGCCACCTATCTCACCAGATTAGATACTGTGTAGATAAAATAGGTAAAATCTGTAACTTTCTTTCATTAACTTGCTCCTAATAAGACAAATCCTATAGTTCCTCAAATCAATTTCAACTGTTTCCAAATAATTGTTTTGCAGGAGAAGATAGAACAGGATGGACCATAGGTGATAAAGACTTACAGGTACATTAGTGCAATATTGCATTTTGTGTATTTTGTATTATTAATGTCCTTTCATTACTGAAAAAATAAATCATGAACACTTCTGAGGATTCTTGTATGTTCTCTAAAACCTTATAAAACAGGGGTCCCCAACACCAGGCCATGGCCCACTTATCAAGCCCTGAGCTTTTTAAAATTGGTCCGCCCGAAGCAGCAGGTGAGTGCATGGACATGAATCCCACCTTGCGTGAGCAGTGGGCAAGTGCGTGCAGGCATACTCCATTGCAAATGGAGCTGTGCACATAACGGGTTTGCCTACCACACAATCAAAATCATCCCCCCCCCATGCCGGTCCACAAAGCTGGAAAGGTTGGGGAACTCTGTTATAGAAGATATATTATATAATTGTGTTAATTAGTGCTTTATATAAGGTTTTATTCCTCAATATGTTTAATTTAAGTAATGTTGTGCTATACGTAGAGGACTGATCTCACCTAGTTGCCCTATTTTCTGTAAACTGTTTTCTGTCCAAGCTGAAACTTCCAGACAAGCTTCCATAATAGAGCTACATAACATGTTCTATAATAATACCATCCATTCTTGGATTATTAAGGTATGCATTTTGCCCACTATCATAATTGGGCAATTAAATTGAATATGGCACTTATTACTTAATAAGTAATTAAGTATTTAAACTACTTAAAATCCATCTGGCCACAATGCCGTTGTCTTCTCAAAATTCATCTTAGGTTTATTTAATCATCCATGCCTCTGTTCTTCCCAGGATTTATAAAGAGCTGCGATCAGCACAGTGCTGACACCATGTCACAGATCTCTAGATTATAATTTGTGATGGTTACATATCAGAAGGAAGAGAATGGAATCCTCGGGGATCAGGACCTAACCATGGGGATGCTACAATGGTCATAAGTGTGCAAAACAGTCATAAGTCACTTTTTTCAGTGCCGTTGTAACTTTGAACGGTCACTAAATGAACTGTTGTAAGTTGAAGATTACCTGTAATCTTTCTACAAATTCTTACTAAACATAACAGACTCCTTCAAGCATCATTTTGATCTTGGAAACTGATCTTTTAGGTCGGTGGCGTAAAGTCCAAAGTGTTTGTGAATCAGATGGTCCTCAAAGTGCAGATCTACTCACCCTTCAGAAAAGTTCTGCTGGGCAATTAACTAAGGAACTCCAATCATTGAAACGGGCAGTTTATAACATAAATGTCATAGCAAATGCAGTGCAATGATGGAAAAGAAATATATTTGCTATTAACAAATGCTTCTCTAATGTATGCTTTGTTGATTTACTATGAGATTTATGCTGCCTTACCTTGTCATAAACTGAGTTGTTTCAGTGCTTGGAGTTCTCAGAAAAGATGCTTTCTGAGTTTCTTGTAGTCAGAGAAGGGAGTTTAGAAGTGATATTGTAAGTGGCTTAAAAAAAAACTTTTGCTATTCTTTAGCAAAAAGTGCAGCTTTGACAAAATGCTCAACCCTTTCACCTGGTAAATTCTCCAGAACATTGAGGAATTATTTGGCTGTAGTCACTCTTGAGAATATTCTCAACAGATCTCCCATTCCTGCATAGAGGGACTGCCATAATGAACCCAGTTTTCTTTAAGAATTGATCCATTCCAAGCCACAAGAATTATTCTCCAGTGATTGGTTCTGATCCTTCCTTTACAGCTCTCATTCATTCAGATTTCTAGACTGCTTCCCAGACAATTAGGTCTCAATGCTGTTTATAACAACACATTAAAATATAATAACAAAGCAGAAAATGTAAGAAGTGTGAAATATATTCATTAAAGGAGTGATAGAGTCAAATTAAACAAAACCATTAAGTGGTATTTATGAGAAAGATCTGGTGAAAAGATAGGTCTTTGAAACAATCCATTCGGAAACAACTCAACTTATGAATTTCAAGACATGGAGCCTACATTGAGAGCATAGGCTGCATTACAGAGAACACAAATCCACAAGCCTCTGTAAGATGGCCAGTCTTGGCAAAGGTATATCTGAGTATACCTCAGAATATCCCTACAAGTTAAAGTGAAATTACCATACTAAGCCCCTAATTCCTGGAAATGATCCAGAACATCTTGGCACATGATATAAAATATCTCAGAAAGATCAAGCAGAATCAATGAAGTTGGCCTTCCTTTGCTTGTTGCAGAAAGTAATATATCAGCCATGGCTGATTCTGTTCCCAAATTAAGGTCTGAATCCAGATTGAAAGAATAACGTTTTCACAATAGGTCAGTTCATTACTATTATGTTATACCCCTTGCAAAGTCTGAGAAATCTACTGCCATTTCTAATCAATTTGAACAAGCCAAACAAGCTGCATTATACTGTAAAGGTAAGCAGTACAAAATCTGTTTTCTCAAGCTCTTTTTTGCCTATCATGGCTATCCTAAAAATGCTCCATCAATAATTGGAAGTACTCTACAGAATAACATGAGTTGCTGTTAACAGTTTAATTATTTTCCTTAATCGCCACATAGAAGATTTTTTTTTAAAAAAAAAAACAACTTTCACATAAAATTTCAAACAATGGCATGGGTTGTAGCAATGTAAGCTGAGAGAGATGGGAAGAAGGCAGAAAAGCTGATGGAGGGATCTTCTGCTTCATTACAGGTGAATTTTCTTGCAGATTTCACACACATACACACACACTCACACACAAGCACGCACACAGACCTACAAACCTGCTATTGCTCACTCCACTTAGGAGTTCTGCTTGACTGGTCTGGCGGCAAGTTGAATGGCAGAATGTCTAGAATAAACTAACATCTACCCAAATGTGGCAACTGCTTTTTTTTCCAGCTTCCGGTCATGGTTTCAAGGCACTGATGCACTCCTGAACCTATTTCTTTCCTTTAAAAAAATTCATAGCTAGTAAGATTTCTTACTGAGAATTTATTATTTATGTGGATGATGCAGAATAGTCAATGGCAGTAATGGGCACCTACTGACTTTCTAATACAAAAGACTACAGTTGATAGTGACCATGTTATTTAATTAGAGGAGCACATACTGAGCCAGGTATTAGGGCTTAAAACTAAAGGTCAAGGAACTGTGTGCACAGATGTAAAATGCAAGTGGTGTGTAATAAGAAATCGGAGCATTAACTCGAACCATGGAATATCAGAATTATATGGAACTTTAAAAGAGAGCAGGATATGGAAATATAGAATAATACTTTTGTTTCTTGAGAAAAGTCAAGTTTTTCATATTTGAAAAAATAAATCCTTGATTTTTTTTTCTTAAAGTCATAGTCTAACTTTTGATTTTCAGTTTTATTTGAATATTAAGGTACTGTATATTGACAGAGTTGTAAATTTCTGATCTAAGTGTAAAAATCAAGGATTATTTTTTTGTTGGCAGTACAGTAGATGTTTTCTCATGGCATATTATGCATGCAGGTAATTTAATAATATCTTTTCTACATTCATTGGTAAATTAGTTATTTTCCCAATTAAATTAAATTGTTTTGTAAAAGATGCCACTATTAAATAATATTGGCAAGAGTTTTAGAAAAAAGTAACTTCTAAAACCTGCTTTGAAAAGGACGTGATACAGTCCTGCAAAAATATTTACTTATTTATAGATGGGAAGCCTATCTTGATTCTAGAGGGGTGTATATGTGTAAGAACTATAAAAATAAACACTTTTCTTTAAAAAATTCAATATTTTAGGCTTGATTGTTGTAAAAGCTTAGGGTGGCAGAACATTAAGCTTTCAACTTCTAATAAAATCCTTTTGTTTCCTTAGGCACAGATTGGTAATTACGTTTCAATGCGACATAACAACAGATACTACACAGTGGACAAAAACGTCATTTGCAGAAATTGTGATAAACGAGGTCATTTATCAAAAAATTGTCCTACCCCAAAGGTAAATGTAGTATTTCAATTTGTTTTATTGCTAGCTGATGACTTTCAGACTTTAAAGTGCTGCTCTGGAATAGTTTTACTGGCTGGCATTTTGAGAAAGGAAAAAAAGAAAAGAATTTCCATACTCTCACTGCAGTGGCAGTTTAGACCCAAGGAACATTTCCTGTTAATTTCTTTGCCTTGTGGATCCTATCCTAGAGATTAATCACAAGGTATTAGGAGCATGATTCCCTTGTAAGAGAGGAGATGGAGTATTTGAAGTTGGTGCTTTCTTCAGTGGCTCTCAGCAATATAATCCAATCAAGAGAGACCCAGTGGCCCATGCTGAGGATTACCACCTGCTCGCTGAAGATTTCTTTTCTCTTTCCCCCACTTTAGTGAATGAGTGGACAGAACAATAGGGCTTGTGAGAAAGTGAGATACAGGCATGCATCCTATAATTAGTCCCCACTCTGCCCTCACTGGGGGAGCAAATGATAAAACACAGCTTTATACCTTGTACTGCACATACCTTGCACACACATTCTATTTTTACATCCACGCCTTAGAAGAAAAAAATGTCCACTCAGCTGATGAGAGAATTCTTGCTAGAGAATACAGAATCCATGGTATTGTGCATAATGATCGGCAACCCAATGTAGTAATTTTTACCAGAATAATAGCAAAGATTTTTTTTTAACAAATTTTATTAAATGTACATTTAAAAACAAAAGCAGACATGATTCAACTTTCCTGGCTACAACATTGCTATTAGTATTACCTTATGTTACAGAAAGAAAAACAGAAACTTAAAGTACATTCTATAACAGGACAGAGTATAACAAACTGTACATATAACATCTGTAATTTTTTGGGTAAACCCTCTTTCAGTCATCAACGTTGTATTTACATATCTTTCAGTTGTGTCCTAATATAAGTGTTAATAAGAAGTCCTTACGATATCAACTAATCAGTCGAAATCATCTCAGCGATCCTCCTTATCTCTAACCAATCGTACAAATTTTTCCAAATTTCATAATACTCCGTTTCAGTTTTATTTTTAATTTCTAGAGTTAACCTGTCCATTTCGGCGCAGGATAAGATTTTATTTATTATTTCTTCTTCGGTGGGGGTTTCCTTTCTTTTCCATTTTTGGGCGTATGCCAATCTTGCTGCGATTAAAATATGCGATAGTAAGTAGAAAGATGCTTTGCTGAGTTTATCATTAATAATCCCTAATAAGAAGATTTCTGGTTTTAAATCAATTTTTTGTAATAGTATTTCTTCCAGCCAATTTTTTATCTGATGCCAAAAATTTTGCGCTTTTGAACATTCCCACCACATGTGATAGTAAGTCCCTGGAAGCCTTCTACATTTCCAGCATGTCGGTGAGGTTTTTTTATCTATTTTTGCTAGCCTAGTACGGGGAAGGTGCCATCTATAAAACATCTTGTATAGATTTTCTTTATATGAGGTGGCTAGCGTTAACCTCCTGTTTCTATCCCATAATGATTGCCAATTATCTAGGTCAATACTGTAACCAAAAATTTTTCTCCAAATTAACATTGTTTCTTTTACCTGTTCCTCTAACAAATCTTGTTCTAATAAATATTGATATATCTTTTTTATCATTTGATCTTCTGTTCCTAGAAGGATTTTATCTAATTGTGTATGCTCTAATTTTATCCCTGGTTCTTTTTTGTCTTTTCTGTATCACGACTGTATTTGTAAGTATGCCCACCATTCCAACTCTATACCATCTTCTAATAATCTTTTCCTTGTTTTCAGGTCTCCATTCTTGTCTAAGATATCTTTATATGTGATTACTCTTCCTAAATTTATGAATTTGGGGTGCATGAATATCTCTAATATGGATAGCCAATTGAGAATTTCTATATAATTAAAGTTTTTAATTTTTATCTACACGTCTAATAGTGCCCAGCTAATATGGTGATTCTGAAAGTACTGATGAGCCTTATATTTCCCGTCCCACATTATGGCATGCCACCCTATTAATAATAGCAAAGATTTATGTGTTTAAATAGATTTGGAATAGATTTAAGCGGTAGGTTTATATTTTATTCGTTTTATTCTCATTGGCTGAAAATTGACAGGTGTAAATTTTCACTGAGTACAAAACACTGATATCATTAATACCATAAGTCATTTAAAGAACAGCCACAAAAAATTAAACAATGTGGCAAATTGAGTGGTGAGCAGAATATGTAGACCATTGCAGAATGATAAGACAATCCATTGGCATAATCAGTTATTGGGAGCTTTCTTGATTGCTATTAGATACAATTTCATGTGTTCTTGTCACAGAAAGGCATTCCAAAACAGGTTAGCACAAATGAAAAATCTCTCTTTGAAGCATTACAACAATTGGGATCCTTGGCATGGCTTGTGCCTGACCTCACTGCTTTGACAGTTGCCTCTGCTATCTCTGTGGGCATGAGCAGGTTCTGCCATTGTACTTCACTAGCAGTTCCAGTAGAAGTGTTACCTCTATATCCATACATATGTGTGTCAGCTGGGGCCAGCTTTCAAAGCTTTAGTGTAAGGTTTGCAAAGAACATGGCTGCTTTAATGCTTTGAAGGAAGGTGCTTCAGTCAGAGCAATGCACTTTGCAAACCACTTCTTTCAAGTGATTTCTATAGTACTATTACCTAAAGTAATAGCTGGGGGGCTTCTGGGAGTTGAATTCCATGCATCTTAAAGTTGCCCAGTTTGAGGTCTAAGTAACTACTTTTTTTTCAAGCAGATTGATCTTGGTGGAATTTTGGGAAGGACCCCTTGTTGTGCCTAACAGTACTGGAGATGATTTTATTCATTAGCTACTGATTGTTCATCTTCTGCTCTTTATTTATTGTACTATTGTTTCGTTTTACCTTATGTTTTAATTATTAATTGAGGGCTTCCTTGTGTAGGCAATGCATGAGAGTATGAAATAGTAAAGTAGGTCTTAAGCCAAGGACTTAGAAATTCCCTGAGAATATAAATGGAAGCGCCTTGTTTATTTTACTTAATTTAAATTCCTCTGATTCTATAACCATTTGATTATTTTTGTTTCTTTGCATTTATTTTGCAGAAAATTCCAC